GGGGGGGGGGGGGGGCATGACACGAGAGATCAAGGGAGCGAACGAAACATGATGGTGCAAGAAAAACAGAGGTCACAGAGAGAGAGAGAGGCGGAGCGGGAAACAGATGGAAAAACAGGTTGGCTGACCCACGTATTGAACGTAGTGAACTCGACAGCGACAGCAGTGACATGGCTACGGTTATCTCGCTCGGCCCACCACTCACTCGTCTTTCCCCGCTCCGTAGACGAGTCCTGGCCTCAGGGCACACGTGTACAGCACTCCTTCGCCGAGGTTCTGGGTCTCGCTGCAAAAAAAATGTGCGAGGAAGTTGAGGCGCACACAGCAGAAACACGCGAGAATTTTGTTGACAACGTCGTTCGTGCAACACGTGTCAACCTCTCAACAATCGCATTGTCTTCGCGAACATAAAAACCGAAAGAAAAAGAAGTGTCCGCACGCATGGGTGGAAGAGAAGATCCAGCAGCAACGGCACGCCATGTGTATGTGTGGAAGCCAGCCCCCTGCTCAACAACGCACCGCTCATGACGCGTGCAACGACAGAGTACCGTGCGGGCGTCGTTCCGAGCAAGCACGCACATCGCGCGGAAAACGATAGGGCGTCCGCAGAAAACCCAGATCGGTGACAACGTGTAACGTGTAGGCGCAGCCCGCAAAACGACGCTTCCAGCAGAATACGGCTCCTGTCTCTGATCTCTGAGTCCTCGCTACATCACGTTCTTGTTCTTGGTGTATTCTTCGGTTGTCTCTTTTGACTACCCGTCGATCGCTCCTTTGTACCAGACTGGGGGCGGCGCCGTAGCCGCTAAAGTGGAAATCGGGTGACCGACAGATGGCAGATGGACGGGGGCGAAGGGGCGGGCAGATGGCCGCACTGAAAGCGTGTGGCGCGCGTACGCCCTTGTTTGGAGAAAGGGAGGTGCCGCCCTCCTATCGTTCGACGTGCCCTTCTATTCACCTCTGAGGCCGCTCGAAATACGGGGAAACACGTGAGCGGCAGTCACCTAACCGTAGGTGCAATACAATATTATTGTAGACCCCGCGGCACACGAGACGACCACGTAGTGTATCAGTCGGCCAGCGAATGTGCTTAATGCTTACGCCTGCCACCCGACACGGTTTGGCAAGAAGCGCAAACCTTACAAATACCAAAAAAAATCCATCATTGCCTAACCCTATCTGCGCCCCCTCCTCCATGTTTGGTGCTTGCCTGGCCTTGAGCACCTCCGCTTCCGCTTGACGCATGACACCCAGGCGGCTGCCGCTGCTACTACCGCTGCTGCCGCCGCAAGTGCTGCTGTCGTTGCGATCGGCGTCAGTACACGAAGACGACGACGACAGCCGGGAGGAGCTCAAAAAGACGAGGCTGCTCACCCCGCACTCCTGACAGCATTCCAGCACCCGGCTTACCCCTGAACATTGTTTCGTGAGTTTTTTTTTGTGTTGACCATGGTTAAGTTATGCTATTCTCATGGGGGTATGCCTCAAATCGCGGTCATGTGTTTATCGGGTCGAAAACAGTACAACGATAGATAGATAGATAGATAGATAGAGAGAGAGAGAGAGAGAGAGAGAGAGAGAGAGAGGCGAGAGAGAGAGAGAGGCGAGAGGCGAGAGGCTATGAGTGAGGCGCGAAAAGACGTAACGTCAACACAGGCACGGACGGCTTTAGCTCTAACTCAAAACGAGATTGCACCTGCTCTGAACTCCCTCAGCCTGGCCTTGCTCGGAGAGTCGGGAAGATCTAGCGCGGAGAGCAGGTACACGATGCCGGCTCCTCTGCAGACCTGACGAAACACACGACAACCCCGGACAACCACGATAACCGCGAGTATTGCAATGGATTCTTCAAAGGCGGACAGTCGACTTGGGGAGCACATCAACGATTGCACGGCCAATTTTCGAGGGCGCTTGTTGGCGAGCGCACTTGAGAGAAGGAGGCCGCAGAAAACCTTATCGCTCTATTACAGACAAACGAACCAAAGGACTCGAGAGAAGAAGTCCTCGGTGTAAACCCCGATCAGAGAGAACCCTTCCGTCGGAGAGGCAAACACCTTGGGTAGGTAAAACTGCGAGCAATGGCTGACTTAAGGGACGATGACAAAAAAAAACAGGGGGGGGGAGGCGGGGTCACAGCAGATTTGCTGGTATTTGTATACTAGAAGTAGAAAATAGTGTACATTAGAACCTTGCAATATGGCGTGCGGCCGCGTTTTCTCTGCTCTGAAAAGGTGCTCATCAGCACTTGCAAAAGACACAGCGGAGATCTACGATAAATGTGCGCTTGCAAATCCAGTAAGCTCAGTGGTTCTCGAGAGTTGGGGTTTTGGACTACGTCTATGTACAGGTATGATTAGTCTACACTAATCTATTGGTGCAGACTACGATCGTCTACATGTGCTGCTGCGCACACGGCACATACGCATACCTGCAACACATACTGTAGTCTATTTACGGTAGGAGGAACTCTTGATATTTGGTGTTGAACTGCCCATGATCCACTCACATCCGTCAATCCGTCCCATGATTCAACCACCGGCGAAGACCGCACCTCCGACACCCGGGCAGCGTTCCGAAGCCGCGAGGTCAGAGCTGACGCGAACGGGCCTGGGTCTGCCGCTGTTAGCACCACGCTGATGGTCATACTGGCCATGAAGGGACAGAGTGTAGAATATATGCGGCGCAACCAGGAAGAAGACCCGACGACCCAACGGTAGCCAGGTGACAGCGTGATAGCTGCCCTGCCCTGTACCCGGTGCTGCTGGGGCCGAAGGAGAGACTGGCTCAAAACAACGGCGTAAGGTACGGCCCCGGATCCCTGATCCCCTTGTGCGAGGTGGTGGCCCAGTGCCCGCGGATTGGCGGGTTGTTTCGGTCCGCCGTCCGCCGTCGGTAAGTTGGTCGGTAGAGGACCGGTTCTTAGGAAATTACCGGTTCTCCAGTAGAACCATGTTTGGCTGAGTTTCTGAGTTTCAAGTTTCAAGGGAGTCAAGGGTCAAGGGTCAAGCAGCAGTTTTTGCAGTCTGTTAGTGACTCTTCCTATCTAACGGCTCGGGTCAAGGGTCAAGGGTCAAGGGTCAAGGGATTCAAGGGAGGTTCGGGATTCGGGAAGCATCCATCCTGGGAAGCATGTATGTCTATAAAATGAGACGGCCAACTCCCTACTCAGATAATTCAATGGAGTATTGGATTTGGGTGAGGCCTCCTGCGCCGGCCTGTAAGACCATGAAAACGCAAGTACCAAGTACCAAGCAGCACGAGTTAGGCGGAGGAGGTGGCGAGGTTGAAATCGGACGTGAATAATAACCTGGCCATCACAAGTCGAAAAGTAGCGTAGTCTCCAAACAGGAGTTTTGTGGCCGTTGTATACAGCCGGGGTAGATACATAGTACCACAACACATTTAGTATCTACCGGGATCGATGTAGAAAACTCGACAAGAGCTCCTCGGATTGATTGACCCAAAAGAACAACACGGAAGAAGGCAAGTGACAACAGTAGCGTACAAGGTTGTGATTATGAAACAATAGTTTTCGAAAGCTCTGGATGACATGGCTTCAACGCCGCCGTTTTCGGCGCTGGCACTCTTTGTACCGTGGACAAATCGAGCTATGAAAATCGATCGAGGGGGTGAAATATCTTGTGTCACCTACCGTATCGGTGGTTACACTCACTCACAAGGGTAGCGTAACAATTCCCGAATCGTGACGATCCTGGTGGGCTCTTGTTCGGTGAGATGAGTTTGTGTGAACTTGCGATCTTAGCGATGAATACCACCCATTGCATAGCACATGATGATGAAAGGCGAGACAAAGGAGTGAACCTTACGGCATGTGATACGAGAGGCGCCTACTACTCTGATCGTTACAATGTGAATACCCTATGATTTCATGCACGGTGGGATCACATGATAATGCTGTCACCGACGTGGCTCGCACCCGTAGGTCTGTACAACAACCGTTTCGGGGCTGAATTAGACATTCCTGTTTCATACACGATTCAACCACCGTGCCTGACACGATCACGCAGGTATGCATACACCAGGTAACAAGCGTTGTCGGCCATCCGGGCATCACAACGCTAGCTACATTCATTGGCAGAGCTTGCTTGCCTCCGCAAACACCCTCTAGACGTAACCTGGGGTGAGCCGCGATCTTAGCCCCCAAGACCCATACAAGTAGAACGAAAGGTCGAAACAACGTTCCCAATCGGACGCTGTGTTGTTTCACTCAACATCGAATTAAAAGCGAGAGCAAATATCATTGTTTAGGTGTCAAGAACGAACCTTCAACAACTTACTTACGTCCTACCAATAACATCCACAAAACCGTTTCCAAGAAGGCGGAAACCTGGCGTTACTTTCACGTTAAACAATTCTCATTCGCACATACAGATATTGGGAGCCACCCTTCATAACTAATGGTCTGTGCGAAGCCCATCAAGATTTCGTACGCGCATTCCAAAAAATCCTCACTCTAAAATTTTCGAGCAACGATACAGTGCTCCGCCCTCACATGGACGGGCCATACTTAACAAACACGGGTAATACACGAAATAAGACAAACGCCCATCAGACCCGCACGACGAATTCCAGCCATAACAACAACAAGCTCACGCAACACCCTTCCCCCGCCGCCCACCGACAAGGGAATTGTTCGTTCGCAACAGAAAAAACTGCCCCGCGGAGAACCGCCAGATCATTAAGTCTGAACATTTGACGCCACCAAAATGCCTAACGTCAACATAACCTAGAGACAACCCTGGAAAGCGTTTTAGTAGGTGCACACAAGGCCGTAGCCCCCTACCGCCTTCCCCTACCCACCAACTAACCAACACCTGCTAAGCCCTAACCTGTAGAGCGTGTGGCATACATCCGTTGGCAAGACCAATCAAGCGCTCGTCCGCCCCCCCCTACACCCGACCAATCAAACCCACACACCGTGCATGTTACCACAACCACCACCCCAATCACAAAAACAGATCACGTTGACAAAAAATTGGCGAAAGTTCGAAGTAACCTAAACATATTTCCCACCCCCTTCGTTACAATGGCTAATTTGTCGTTTTTCTCGCTGTTGCTGCTGCTCCTCTGCTGCTATCAGTATCAACGCGCGGAGAGATCGACAATATCTTGAGTTACCCCCGTCATTGTCTCGGTTAGGTAGGTGTCGCGTACCTCTGCGGAGAGAAAAGGACAAACGAACCCAAACCAATCCACAGAGACGCGCCAGATTCATCTTGCTCGACATCACCGGAACTGATTTCTCTCCGGAAAAAGCTATGTGCAGTGCATTTTTGCACAGATCTTGGCCCACGACACCGGTCGGAAAGCAAACTATCGACGACAACAAAGTTTCCATACTAGCGTAGGAGAGGTGGTGCCTGTTGGCGAATCCAGTTTGTCTCCTACGCCCAACCTCCCCTCACAAAAAAGGGGACGAGGACCGGTGGATAGACCGCACCCAACCGCATTGCCATTCATTCGCCCCTGCCTCAGTGTCCGGATCAACAACAAAATCGTCCTACTAGAACGTCTAGCTCGTTCTTCATCCGTGCTCCGGCCAAATTCCTTCTGACCAAGAAGTTTGATAGGTGGCCTAGAGAAGGTTGCAGGTTGTCTCCTCCCTTCACTGCGTGGTCATCGTCGTCGTCGTCGTCGAAGAAGAAGAAGAGAGCAGCAACTCCTGGCAGCGGGTCTCCAGCTTGAGCAGGCGGTACCTGTTAGCGAACCGAGCCAGCTGCGGCGCGTTGTCCTCGTCGACGTAGCGCCCGAGCTCGCATTGGCAGGCGCTGGTCAGGCTCGAGAGGACCATGAACTCGGCGATGATCACCACCTGCCCCCACAAAAAAACGCCATGGATGTACATAAATCAACCATGGATCGAGGGAGTGCACGCTACGCGTGGCTTCTTAGCACTGCTGCCCCCGTTCAGGTACCCTCTCATTCATGACAGTGAGGATCTCCCCCCTCGCGAAAGAGCTTGGCACAATTTTCAGCAGTAACATTGGTGTTTCTCCCTCACCTCCATGACAACTTCGGGGTCCAGGTCGACCACGGAGAAGCGAGAGTTCGAGTATACATGCCTGATCACACGGACAATAATACGGGCGGGCAACAAGCGTAAGTCATGCTCCCTCATGGCCCAAACGACAGCGGTATCAATAGTGAAGCTATCCACAGGATCAATCAAAACAAGCGGTCCGAGAGCCATCAAATAAAGCTGACGTGCGACAGGACTGGTGGTCTTCTGCACCCTACAGAGGAGGGGGAGGGGGGTGGGAGGTCAACGCTGAATCATTGCAAATTGTACCAGTACTTTCTGTGAGCTTCTTTGTGAACCACCGACGGTGCTGGACGACATTCCGGAGCAGGCCTTTCGAACGAGGAGGGCCAGGAGGTGTTCGATGTTAAGAGACGCGGTGGAGACGGTCGATCGTTATCCACTCCGTTGTTCGACCAACCGCTTTGCAAACCAAACGGACGTTGCCCACGAATGTCTGTCTTCTTCAGATGATGACGGCTGTTGAATTCATTTTTCTCTCACCGGATGGCCACTTCAAGCGCCTCCGTTCGCGTCACTCCCTCGAGCAGCAGGCCGGACAGGTCGACCTTGTCCCCGCCCCCCTCGCGGAAGCCGCCCTCCAGCAGGGCATGCCACCAGGGCGAGGCGCACAACACCGCCCTGTGGCAGGGGAACTCCCACCCCCAGGCTGGCAGCACCTGGAGCACAGGTGCATGCAGAAATGCAGACGGGGTAATAATACATCCTTCGTGACGAGGAACAAAGAGGACAAGCTTGCGGTTGCGTTTGGAGGTGTGTGATGAAGGGAGACAAGTGTACTAATGAAAATGCATGTCAAGAAAGTCTTGAGGAGTGAGGGTCGCCTGGAGGGGAGGGGGGTCGTCGGGAGTCGGAATGTGTTTCGCTTTGTGTGGACTTGTTTGCTTAAATCGTGTTCGTCGATGGCGGAACAACCCCAGCGCTTGCGAGACGCAGCACGCGGCACATATCCCTTTCGAGGGGTCGCTTGTGTAGGCCACGGCACCACACGCCCGACGCTCGAGAAGGCCGAAGCAGGGAGGACAAAACTGGACGGGTGACGGGGCACGATATGCTTGAGGAACCAGAAAAGTGGCAGAGACCTTTATCAAAGCAGTCCGGTTGGCTGGCATCCTACATGCCTAGAAGCTCATTCGAAAACGTCCCCGTAATGTACCTCTAGTTCAACAGTAGGAGACAGGTACATCGGAATCGCACCGCAGGGGCACAGAGCGAGAGCCCGCACAAATTCCTTCCCCACTCAGTTCGGAGTATCGCTTTTCACGAGCACGAGCTCCCCGCTTTCCATTACGACCACCGTGAGAGGGCGTTCAGAATTGTTTCTCTCCCCGTTTGTTCCTCATGTGGTACAAGTAGGTACAAAGACATGTACCCTTGTTTCCAAATAGTGTGTCTCACCAGCAGCATGTCCGAGCGGTTGGACCATCCAGCCAGCCGGCCGAGGTCGTTGACGAACGTCGACTGCGGAACGTCAAAGGCCCCGGAAACCGGGAGCGTGGTGTTGGGGGTGCGCAAAACGTACCTTCAGGGAGTTCGCCGCAGCAGTTGTCCCAAGCGTGCGTAGGTAGTTAACAAGAAACAACGTGGGGGGGGGGGCGGGGGGGGGGGTCTTTCGTTGGATGAAATGTTGCCCATGTCGAGTACAGTATACGGCTTTCCATTGGAAAACCGCTCGTAAACAGCCGTGTAGTCACACAATGGGTGCGGGAGGAGAACGGCTGTGGGATTAGGGGCGGGAGAGGTTGACGGTCTCATCGAACACACCAAGATGTGTTTCTCAGAGGGCGGGTACAATTAACATGGATGCTGACGGTAATGTTTTCGATCACCCCGGACCGTATCCAACGTCGGCAGCGAGCGCCACTGAGGTCTAGGACGATCCCCTCCCGCACAACCATCGCTCATCGCTCATCTCAAGACTCTTTTAGGCTACACGATGATCCTACCATACGAAAAATACACCCTCCTTTTGATTGTTCCACGAGACTGGGGAAGGTTGCCAGAGCCGATCGGCACATGTGATCATGTGATAGAAAACCCTTGAGGGCGATACACGGCGGTGGCCTCCAGCCCGAGGGATGGAAATTCAGGTATATCTAACCCTTGACCTATCACCAGCAACATCGGAATCGATACCCAGAACTGAAAAATCTAACCTGCGGCGTAGGTAGTACGGGAGCTTCTGCACGGACAACCCCTCCAACCTGTCATGCAGACGGCATCGCGATGGAAGAGAAGTACAGCGTTAGATTTGAGTTCAGCGATATGCGAGTTTAAGGTCATCACATTTCTCTTTTTCCCCCTCTCCGAATCAAACAGCGAAACAAGGCCAACCTGGGGAGGAGCAACTCGTTCGCGAGCCTGGCCAAGGCCTCCAGAGTCTTGCCGGACGTGGCGTCCGAGGGAAGTTCGTCGGCGTACAGGTAACGCGCCAGAAGGGGGACGGTCTCGGCGCTAGCGTGCTCGAGGCAAAGGACTACCCTCTTCGAGGCGTCACCGTCGTTGTCGGCGCCGTTCTCGTTCGTATCGGCAGCAGCGCTTGCGGATGTCGACTTTCTGGCCGCTTCGATGTGGCCCATGAGGTACGGGCACCGCGCCGAGATGACGGACATGTGTGCGGGAACACCTGTCGTCGTTGTTTTGGACGGTTGGGTGGGGCGGTTGGATGGGAAGGAGTTGGAGGACACGGGGGACGAGAACATAACACGGGGGCATACGCAGTTGGTAAGTGGGGAAAGTACAGGGGGGTGGGGCACGGAACAGAGCCGATGGCCAGGGAAGGACAAACAACAATCGGGCATCTGCTGGAGGTAGAGAACGTCGCATTGGAGGATACGGGGGGCTGACCTGTTCGGGCATCTGCTGGAGGTCGAGAGCGTCGCATAGGAGGATACGGGGGGCTGACCTGTGTGTTGTACTTTCGGCTTCCAAGGCGAGCAGATCGGCACTACCTCGCCGGCTTACAGGGGCACATGTATTGAGCGTCTGGGTCGATTGAGCACGAGAGAAGGAGCGGGCATAGGCCAGTACAACAGTCCAAGCCAGCCCAAGAACAAGTACACCAATGCACAGCTGCCAAGACAACAAAACGCGCCGGTGTCGTGGGGTGGTCGTCCGGTCCGTCACGCCCGTCAGACTGCGGCCCTTGCTCGACTCGAGGCGTACCTAACGGCGAAATGTGGAAAAACTCTTCACTTCGTTGCGAGACACCGAAAACACGCACATCTCCAGAGGTACCAATACAAGTCGCTCATCACCCCGAACAACGCACTCAAAGCAAGTGCCGCCCCGGCTACCTCAATAGCGAATCTACTCGCGATAAAAGGCACATTCGCGCGACCTACCAAGCACCCAAACGGACTCACCCGGCTCTCCACGACTCGTTGCATCCGGAGTAACGAGCTCCACGTCGGCGGAATCGGCGGCGCCGATGAGGGGTCGGAGGTGGCGCCCCACGGCAGGCCCTTCTGCCGTAACGGCAACGCCGTGCCTCGATCCCGCGGCGACGCTCACGACTCTGGGGATGGAGGGGATACGGCCCGGGGCCGGGTCGTAGCCGCCCTCCCAGCCACGGCCCAGGGCGTCGCCCTCGTTCCATCCAAAACTATTTGCGTGCGTGGCGCACGGTACCCGATATGAAATGAATTCAGAGGGGGGGGAGGGGGGAGGGGCGAGAGCAGGTTCATTACTCGCTGCAGTGTATGTATGCATACCATTCGAGTATCCCAGGATACCTGCCGCTGCGCGTGGCCCGCTGGAGTGCTCTGTCTCTTCCTACACAGCACTCCTTCCCAGTGGTTGACTGTAGTGTGCCTTGAACTAGTCGTACGTCCCAAAAGAGCGCCAGACCAGAGCATGCCTGGTTTTCCGCTGATCAGGTAAAAGGTCTGGTTGGCTAGGGTCAGAACCTGTGAAGATTGAAAACTCATGCTCCTTCGGTTTCAGAGAAGGCGCCGAACATATCGGTGAACGGGTGTGATTGATAGGGTTTGAGAATGGATTCCCGTCGTCACCGCGACGGAGGGACGAGAAACGTCCGGCAGGTATTGCTGGGCAAAGGTGCATGTCCCTCATTTCGCCCGGTGGGCAGCTTGGTTTGATGCTGCTGACACCAGCAGTACATAAAAAAAATCAAGCGAGGTTCTCGGTGTACCAGGTGCGGCGGCGAGGTGGAACAGGTGGGGCCACCTTTCGCTTGTCCAGGTTCACCAAGTTCATGTGGAACTACCGTAGTTGTTTCGGAGCTTCGAAGGTCGGATGTTCTCGAGCAGAGGCGCCAAAAACATAACTCAAGTTGCGCCCTTCCTTCTTCGACGATTGTAGGGAAGCCGATTGTGTAGTTTTCGGATCGCAGAATGAAAACATTTCTTGGCTGTTGCTTTTGTACTGCTGTGATGCGGAACAACAACGACACCAACGACAGCACCAGCACCAGCACCAGCACCAGCACCAGCAACGAAACGGAAACAAGGACGTGTGTCCTATGTACCTACCTGTGCGTCAGTCCGTTGCGGTCGACAGCGAGCGTGAAGTTGCTCCCGCAGTGCACGGAAACGATGTGGGTCCCCACGAGGCCGTTCACGGCCCTCGGCACCCTGAAGTAACCGCCGCCGCTGCTGCTTGTGTGCCTCATCAGGTCGGCGCCGGCCACGACTGTTCCAACCCACCACGCACAGAGGCAACGGACAAACAACGAAGACGACCGTCGATCGGGACAGATCGTGATGCGGAGAAAAAAGGACGGTGAAACAAGAGGAATTTGTGCCGGGGACTGGAGAACATATACAGTTGATTAGCCTAATCCATTTGGGTTTATTCTATCGGTTTTTCACGAGCGCGAACAGGATCTTGGGGGATGCAGAAACAACTTTGGGCCTGCCAACTGGGGCCAGGCAGAGGCGTTTTCCTCGGCGGTGATCGCCCTCAATTCTACTCGGAAAAATCGGACATTTTCAATCCGGCTTCTCGTCGACCTATGAATCGAGTTGGGGAACCTCACGAGCAAAACTCTCGCTAGGTATTGCTGCCGCGGAGGGGACCTGCACCCGCTGACTTGCCGGCCCAAAAACGCATCGGCGGTAAGGGTTGTTCATGTGGACGGCGTCAGACGACACCCTCGGATGGCACGAGACGGCGCGCGAAGCACCTACCTGCACACCCTTGCTGGCAGTACTCGGAGGCTCCCCAGCTCATCACCAGCCCGCTGGCCATCGCGCATACCGAGTGGTTGGCGCCCGCGCTGACGCTCACCACGCCGCCCCCGACGTCGCTCAGCAGAGGGTTGTGGGTCGGCGCGAGCTTGGTGGAAGCAGCTTCCAAGCCAAGCTTATTTCGGGGAGAATGTCGAGCCCACCCGGGTGTTTGCGTTTGCGTGTGGGTGTCCCCCACCGATTGAAAAAGGGAAAGACAAAAGGCAAAAACAAACGGCGGGACAGCGGGCAAGAACATGTTGGAGGAATGGTAGCACGTATGGGCGGGGTCGGGGACGGAGCGAGGGCAACGCGGGTACTAATAACGTACACACGCTGTTTTCTGCTCGATCAACGGCTGCTTTCATCCCTGTAGAGCCGGGGATGGGAGTGTCGGGATTTTTGCCCACCAGACTCTCAATAGTTCCAACCGCGATTTGCCGTGAGGTGCTCGGCGACTCTTGTGAAAGGCGGGGTGTACCTCACATGCAACGGGGGGTTCACACGAGGCATACGGTTGAAATGTGCGTGTTTTATCGTTGCTGTTGTTGCGCTGAGGCGGCCGCGTGGTGCGAGCTACTTCCACGACCGAAGGGTCATGGGGTACGATTGCGTGCAGATCGTCTTTCACCGTTTCAAAAGCCAACCACCCGGCGTTTGCGACGACAGGGCACGTGAGATATCAATTTGCTTTTTCAAGAGTGTAGAGGCTTCATGCCCAACGCTCAGCCGAAGCAAGCAGAAAGGAGAAAGCGAGGCCGTCTTCTCTGTCTCTAGCTCTGGCTCTGGCTCTGTCTGTCTCGCTCTTTCTCTCTCTCTCTCTCTCTCTCTCTCTCTTTCTCTCTCTCTCTCTAGAATTACCTGACCAAGACGGCCTCCACCCCAAACGAAAAGTTCAGCCTCTTGATCAAGGCTGCTGCTGCTACTGCTACTGGAAGACTTCGAGGGGGGCTTCTTGTTGTTGTCGGACGACGGGAGGACGCGAGCGAGGTTGTGCTGTTCGCCGCACGCTACCTGGACGCAGAAAGAACGCAGAAAGCAAGTGCATCAAAAGGAACCGAGAGCGGAAGCGGGAAGCAATTCGCAAGCGAGGCGAAGCGTAACTGTAAGCAAAGAGCAACGAAGCCTTTGTTTCCTTGGTTCTGAACAAGATGTGACAAGCTACAGTACCGCGAGCCAAGCTACAGTACCGCGAGCGTTCGCGTTCGGCACCGACAAACAAGGACCTGAATGGGTAGGACGGGAGTTGTGCAACCGCAACGAACCGGAGGCAAGGCTTCGCTGTACCCGGCACCAGGTCGCGTGCGTACTGCGGTAGTTCCCCCCTTTAGTCAATCCGTTCGGCCCGTTTTCGTCGTCGTCATCGAAACGAGCATACTCCGTACAAGACTCCAAATGTGCCGGACTCCACCGCTCTTAAAGCATCCTGGGACTCGGATCGTGCTCAACCGGCATGATACAGCAGCACAGCGAGGTCACACCACGAACAAGAGGACACACACCCGCCTCTGTCCGGCTAACCTTCACACCGTAGGTCGTAACTGGCGACAAGTCGCACGTCCAGATGCAGCGGAGAGCACCAAGGATACGATACGAGTCGACCAGTCAGAGCCGGCGCCCATCGACAACAACAAAAAAACTGGTAGAAACGACGCCGCATCTTGCGGATGATGAAGACGAAAACAACAACGCAATCGAAAAGACGACCAAGAAGGAACAAGAGCTACACTGAGGCAGAAGAAACAGCAAGGCAAGCCAACAAATAAAGGTGATGAGAGCGAACGAACCTCGAGGAAGAAACGACCCGCCATACCGACCACCTCCCGGAAGATGCCACTGTGGATTCGGTGCGCAAGTCCGAGCTGCAAAATCTCAGTTTCAGAAAAGGAAAAGCAAGCAAGAGAAGTGAAAACGTACAATGGTGGCAGGAGGGGGAACAGAGAGGGAGAGAAAAGAGTGAGGCATAAGGGAGGTGGCAGAACGGAGACTACAAAGAGACGAGGCAGAGCGGCAGGTGGGGGGATGAGGGGAGGTGGTGTGAGGTGTGGATGACCGACTCCATTTAACGCGGCACGCCCAAGAGGTTAGGGGAACGTTTTTACACCGGGAGGTTCATTTTTGGCAGCGTGACCACGCGCCAAGTAGCCCAGAACAATTGTACTGCTGATGTTGGCCCTGAACAACAAAGATGCTAGCACCACACGGCTGTTCCTGGCTTATTGCGTGTTCGGGCTGCCCCCGTGGGTTTGCATGATCCTTTTCTTTTCTCCTCACAGAGTGGTAGGTCTAACACCTACTTTTCGTGCCATGTGTGCAGGGGTGCAATATGTCGTGCTGATGACTACTACCTGCGACACATTCGACGGTGTTTCTGTCATGGCTTCGATTGCTTCTCCTGCACCTTCATCAGAAGAGTCTCTGTGTGTACATAACCAATTGACGTGCCACATTTTGCCAGCGTTTCGCTCGTACGCACGGACCTGTCCTCTATCGTTCTGCCCGCTGGAGAACGCCCTGCCCTGATCCGTGACGGCCACGGAGTGGGCATAACCCGCGCTGATGGAGGTCACGCGAAGACCCCTCAGGGACGTCGCCAGGCGGGGCACCGGCTGGCGGCTGCGTGTGGGAAGCCTCTCCAACATCCTCTTTTGCCTGAGAAAAAAAAAAGGTCGTGCGGTGGGGCAGGGCGGGGCAGGGAGGGTGGAGGGGCACTGGGTGTGAAACCTTGGGTGCGACGTGTTGGTGTTCGCGGGTGTAAACCGTGCAACGAGGGCGTCCACCGGGCGGCAGAAGAACGGTAGAAACGACGACAACGACAGCAAACGGCCGCAATCAGAGAACCACACAACAGAGCGTTGTAGCTCATACTCGAAAGTCAGCGAGCGTTCTTCGACTACCTGCAAAAGTGAGTTGCTGATGCCTGCGAGCAGGCGCATACCAAGCGTAGAGCAGCTCGACAGTGAAAGTGTCGCGTTGAGCACCGACCGATGTACGGCGTGTGCCACACCTTCCGCAACATACCTGTGCCTGCAACGTGCAGAAAAATGTCACATAATGCAAAATCGCCATGCAGGAGCACACGCAGAAAAAAACGTGCGAGTAGCAACAACGACACCTACTACAACAGCAAAACAACACTCGCCCAGTCCCCGGTAGCTCTCGCCCCCCCCCCGTTTTTTCCCTCACATGATTCTGGTCTCTTCATCCATGCTGTTGTTGTCTTCGGCGCTGCTACTATCGTCGCGTTCGCTGTTCTCGGTGTCATCGGTCGCGGACAGCCACCTGCGCGCGCTGTCGGCCACCACGCTCGACAGGCGGTGCGCCGGGTTGACGTGACCCTGGGAGGGTCCTGCAAGGGCTAGCAGGTCCGCATCCGTCGCCTCCTATTATAGATACGTGGCGGCGGTATTTCTCGTTGTCTGCGGCGTTGCAGGAAGTTTCTGCTGTAAATGTGAACAACATAGTTCTCGCGGAGTGTTTGTGTTCGGGCGTCGTTGCTATTTCATGGTTAACTTGTGCAGATTACAGGTAGACGTGTACACAAACCAAGGACAAAGCAAGAATTTTGATTCATTTCATTTGATGTTTTGCAAATCCACTGCTTCTGCAGCCGTCCTTCCCTGTTTCCTGGTCTGCTCAGCGGAAGGTAGCCTCCACCCACGGGCACAGCTAACTTGGGACACAAAAAACTGCGGGAGGGGATGACACAGACATCATGCCCGTGCCGGTACTTTCTCATCGTACACCCAAGTACGCTCGGAATCCGTATACCTTGTGTATGGACCACTGCGCAGTCTTACCAAGCACCCAACGCTCTCAGAAATTCATATCTATCTCCGAAGACCGGTAACCATCATGACACAATGAGCCCCGAACGTTCAAGGCTGTACGCCTTCCTTGGGAAGCTGACCCATTTGTGTACCAATCGATATCATGCTCCTCCTCCTGTCTGCACTAGATCCCGCCAGGCACAATGCTATGCCGTCACCTATACGACGATTTCATTGTCCAAGTCGGTGAAGTGGCCCTCCATTCTTTTCGGCTCGGCGAAGCTCCACCTCAACAACATATCTGTTCGCTTTACACCTTACGCTTGTGTTTTGTTGTGCGCCGTGCAACTGAACCTCATCATCTGCGCTCGTCGTACCTTCTCCGCCGTCCAGTCCGGGTCGGTGTGGATCAGACCCCACTCGTACAGCGCTCCTGACGAGGTGACCGCCAGGGAGTGGAACGCCCCACACGCCACCCCGGTGGCGGTCACGTTCGAGAGGGATTCCACCTGTCGCAAAAAACGTCACACGCGTGCGCACGGACACGGGGGCATAGTTGAGGTACACACTCTAAACAAATCCAAGTGCGTAAGTGTTGCGCTTGTTGCATCATTCACGCCGTGTTATGTCGAGCGCGAACCAGAAGGAAAATTCGTCGAGGTAAGGGAAAAGCAGCGCGGCATGATCGTGTTGAGTGTGCAGGCCGCTTCTTCCTCTGCTAGATCATGCCGTGTGCAAGTGGAGAAGAGAAGATCGGAAAGGGAGAAAAGAGGGCTGATGCCGGTTGTGAACGTGCATCGCTGGAAAATGGCGTTTCGGGTATTTCAGACGAACCCACGGGGGAAAGAAAAACAATATATAGAGCAACTTCGACCCCAACATGAAGAAAAAAAAAAACGCACCACCACGAGCAGCACCGCCAACAACAACAAGGACAACCGTATGGCCAACCTTCCGCGGGGAGTCGGCCATGTCCAATCTCGAGGCCTCGCCATGTCCTAGCTGCCCCTCTTTGCCGCGACCGAACGTCAACACGTCGCCGTACTGGGTCACGACAAGGGTGTGGTGCTCGCCGGCGGCTGCGGCAACGAAGGACTCTCCGTCCACCTCCACACCCACCTGTAAATAATGGGTACCAACGACAACCATGCGCGCAAACAGGTTGGAATGTGTGTTTCCACACGTGAGAGGCGACACGAAGGTGGTAAAACGTTCTGCGTGCAAGTAATCAAAGACATGATTGATAGCTAACTTGTGCAAGGTCTCAGAAAACAACACAGAAAACGATGTCGCGCACATGATGAGCGACTTCGTCGCACAAAGAACACCCATTTCAGCTTTTGAGAGCACACACCCCGCCGAAGCTCATTTTTCTCCTGCCTGGTTCATTAATGCTGAAAATATATAAGCACCAAATGATAAGACTGCTGCAACGGGTATTCTCACCAAACAACACAGCAGTGTAAACTACCACATACATCATGAGCGATTTCGTAAGACTGTTGATTTGAACTACCAGCCTATCATCTTGTTCATAGTGAGGGAACTACAATAGTGTCGCAGATCTGTACAATACTCTGTCGACAAAAACGCACACAATACAACTTAGCTTGACGACGCAGTCAAGTGTCAGCAGACCTACCGATTTTTCATCACGGCGGTCTCCGTCCCCCGAAGAAAAGCACCAAAATGAACGGATATCAGCAACCATATATGTGCACGTGCGCACGAACGCGTGATCTCACCGGTTCCTGGCCTTGCCCCGCCCTCTCGCTGCCCAACTTAGGCGGGCACCTGGCTTCGGCGGGCTGCACCTGCTGCTCCTCTTCCTGGTGCCCTTGCCGTGGTTGGTGCCGGCTGGAGCTGCTTGGTGCGGGCTCTCGCTTCACACCGAGCTGTGTACCAAGAAAACATGAGAGACAGAGTCGCAAGCTTTACTCCGAGTAACCCAACATGTCAACCAGTAGGTGGGAAATGCGGGGAGAGCATTGGAACCACGCCAACATTCGGACGGTCAACCCAGCCGCTAGAATTGTCTGGGGCAGGGAGGCTGGATATCAGCCAGATCCCCGCGACAACCAACCATCAATTTCAAGCGCCTACCACGAAGACTTGTGCCAGTGCTGGGCCCCTTGTATGCCAGCAGTAGTACACCAACCGCAAGGGGTAGCCAGTAGCATCATCGTGTGACAAGGACGGACTGGCACGCAAGATGAATGAGTAGCCCACGGTTGTACCGTGTGTCTTGAGGTTTGGATACTGCTTCATTAGCCACCACATTCTATTGGCCAAAGATTTTCCTCCGACGGTATTTGGATTAGACTGGTTTTTGTTTTCGGAATGGTGAAGACGTGCCAACTCTACTTCGTGTAGTCTACCTGCATACTAGTATTATCTAGACTGCCCGTACATGAATACAAGATTTTGTTTCGCCGCCCCGCCCAATAGATCGATTCCAAGATATGCGATAAGGTAAATTCCTGCAATATAATTCACATTCATGGGAAGCAGCAATCACTTGAACATTGGAAATAGAGTGGTTCGGTTGCTGAGAAGAGAGTGCTCGTACTGCAGATAGGGAACGCCCTCGATTGATTCGTGTCCCTACACAACCGAAAAAAATAAATAAACGCGTGGCTTCACGAACGAAAGAGTGCTCGTGCAGCGACATTACACCACCCGGCGCTTGGACACGATGCCAAGCCGACAGTTAACGACTCTTCACGACTCCTGTGCATGCGTACGATACACAGCAGAGAGAGAACGTTGTGTGAAACGCAGATGTCGGAAATCATCGCAAATTATAAGTATTTGAGAGGGTTGACGAGGTAGTGGTACAGCAACGGGTCCTTGGGCGTCTCATGGTTGAGAGGAACGAGCCTTACCCGCAGAAACGCGCCCGCCCGGCGTCTGCTCGTCCTGTAACAACTGAGCAGTTAGGCCCACGCATGTGTAACTGCGGAGAATGCAACAGGTCAAAGATGCGGAGAAAACAGAAGACCATTCCATGTCGTCACAGCTGACTGAGCGGGGACCACTATCAGTAGAACAAAAGCAGCAATGCCCGCTTGATTGAGAGGGGTCCGCCGAGATACAAAAGGTCTGGCCCACATCGACCGCGCCAGATCGATTCCACATCGACCGCGCCAGATCGATTGGGGCGTCCGCCGCTGAGCGGTTGGTACGGTTGGTACGGTTTCCGCGAGCGGGCGAGACAGACGCAGAGTAACAAAAGCGTATTCAACTGACTGTTCTGCCAGAGCTCAAAAGATCCTGCCCCGGCCCCCGAAATTTGAACGCACAAATGCCCGGGCATGTACCGGAATATGGGCTGAAAATGTGACAAGATGTTCGACATGTAGGAGCCGAGAGAGAGAGAGAGACCGGGGTAAAACGTGAATGGATGGATGGGGGAGCACGGCAGAGGGGCGAAAAGCATCCACGAGTGGGAGAGATCGACGCAGAGACAGACAGCCGCAGAGTGAGAAGCGGAATTAACAGAAAATAACCGAAAGCTCCAAACATGCCGAGAGAGGTGGAAAAGCAGCTCTCTGTGAGAGGCCGAGAGAGTCAAAATGCAGTGCTCTGAAAGCCGGAGAGAAATTCGGCTCGTCAGAGAGAGCACCACGACAGGGGGTGATGTAATAGTATTTGACCCCTTCCTTCAGAATCAATCACCTTTGAGCTGTGTGGAACTCTCTTGGCCGACCACAATAGCAGTTTGTTGTTGCTTTCCGTTGTTCTCTTTCTCTTGATTAACGCTTTCCAAGGCAACTCACAATATCCCACCCACACACGATCAGGGATCGTCTGTACGCACACACTGAACAGAAGGGCACACGTCTCGGCATAAAGCCCTGATCTAGCATGACGTCACGTCTTAGCATCCGACGGCGCCAAATAACCATGATCAACCACGATCACAAGTCTACCTCCAAATACCATAACAGTGATGCAAGAACATGCAAAAAAGCACCCACTGTTCGAATCAACAGCCCAAAGGCGGAACATACAAGTAGTCTTACAATTGTAACAGTCCAAAGAAAGTTCTTGGCATTCTTAAGAAAGATCTACAAACTACAAACTAACACCGTTTACATAGAAATACAGCAGTAGTCTTTTAGAAGAGTTACGCCAGCCCGAAAACGCACCGTCGCGAAAGAGGGTGTCTGGTTCTTTTTTATTATTCTGGCGCAGAGAGGACCAGACCTCTAGCGATCCTGAACACGCGACTGTCGCGAAGTCTGGTCTGTCTGTGTGCGCGCTCGGTGGTGGCTGGAGGCTGGAGGCATGCGGCGGCGGGGTGGACACGCACATGCACCTATTGAACATTTAAAAGTGCTCGGTATGCGTATGGCTATCATAAACGGAAACGAGGGTTCATCATTTCGAGACTGCCAGCAGTCAATATTCGCCCTCAGAGCCGTGTAGAGTTGAAAAAGAACATCACGATTCTACATATCTTGTGGCAGAACCCGTTTATCCACTAGCCCCAAAGGCATGAGGAAACCGCACGTATGTATGTCAACGCATTTTCGTAGATCTCGGAGACCGGGTGCTATTGTTTGAGATATAACCTGCGACAAACAGCACAGGCAACAAACTCCGAAATTGTACGTATGTAGTCGTAGTCCGACAGGAATATCTCGCCGGCGTTGAAGCCTGAACTCTTTCCGTATGAAAGATGAACACATGCTCTTCACCCTTACCGCAAGCAAGCTTATTACGGCCAGCAGCTTTGATTTTGTATTGCTGTACCTGTAGAGCTGGTCCAAAGTTTTGAAAACTAAAGCCAACTTGCTCTGTTGTCGTCACCATCCAGCTGTTGGGTCATGACGTTCAAATGACTCAGGGACTACACCCGTACTGCCAGCTATCGCCAATGCAGTACCTGCTTCTCTGCATTTGCCTCACCTGGCCGTAGTTGTTTTTCCCCCAAGCATAGAGGCTCATCTTCTTGGCTTGTTTGAAGTTCCGAGCGGAGAAATTCCTCTAGGATAGGATGGGGAGAGCGACCTGGTGCTGGGCTTTTGCGTCGTACTGCTGTAGAGAGATCAACAGACACGCTGACTTCACACGCCTTGTTTCTGCCGAATGAAATACTGTAGACTGACTAGGGAAAAGCGGTCGCTGTGATCGAGAACATATAAACGGTTGTGGAGCTATACCAGGTGTCGGAAGATGGAGACGGAAGGTGGAGTGTGTCTGGTGTCGAGCGGCATTCTGAGGACCGATCGCCAAAAAATAATAAAAAAAAATGAGGGACTTCAACGACGCCTCTTGCTCATCTGCAAACCGGGGGTTCCGGCAAATCATGCTGGCAGAAGTCGAGCATCGAGCAGCGTTACCAGCAGATACCAGAGTAGACACACCAAAGTGTTACAAAACGAGCAGCGTTACGACTGGCGGTGTGAGCGGGGCACCACTCCTCAACGGAATATTTGACGCCGGTGCTGAGGCTTGTGTGCGTGGGAGATCATCACCGGTAACAGCGCGGCGGCGGTCGATATACCTACCTCTCTACAGCAGTGAAAAACAGGACGAGTGTGGGCGACAACGTTGAAGTCACTGCTGTCTCTCTCTGTGCAGTTCGACTTGTTTCTACTCCTCTCTGTGCCTTGGATGCACACAGCAGGACTCGGTGGACGGCCGCCAGGAGTGAGTGGGATGAAGTTGATTCGCGGCCGCTCGGTCTTACCGGTGGCGGTGTCGCTTTTGTTAGCGGTGGCGGCGATTCTGTTGCCCGGGGCCGGTGCGACGAGCTGCAGCGTCTTGGATTCGTGCGGAGCTTGCAGAAACACGACCCTCTGTCACTGGTGTCCGGACCAGCAGTGCCACGTTATCGGGAGCTTTCATGGGTGAGAGAGAGAGAGAGAGAGAGTCGTGATGTGGTTCCTGGGTCATCCGAAAGGTTGGGGATTCATGGCATGGTAGAACCATCCCGTGTCTCATTCAAACACGTGCCCAGGAAAATTCGTTTTGAGTCTTCGGGCGTTCTTACTGATCATTGATTGATCTTTTGCAAATGCTGGTGTAGTGGCAAGTCGTGGAGTTGCCGCCCTGCGCCGTGTATTGGCAAGTCCATAGGTAGGTGTGTCTAGATTATTAGGACCCGCGCTAACCGGCTGACCAATGAAGAGACTTCAGTGACAGCGGCGGGTAATATCAAGGTCTCGGGAATGGGAATGGGGCCAATCAATGCCAAATCATGAATCTCTCAATGTATGCACATGTCAATGAACGCGTGTGTGCATACATACATATGTGTTCTTTCGCAGCACCACACATACACTCGCCCGAACGTAGGAAGCCACTGCTGCTGCAAAGAGCAGAGGGCAGCAAAAGGGAGGGGTATTGCAATCCCTGCCGAAGCCCAGATATCGAGGATGTCGTGGTTCCCAACATTTGAAAATCGTTCCCAAGATCCAGCAGTCATTGTGTAGGCAGCTACAACGAACGCTACAACAACACTACTACTGCTGTAGACGAGTAAAACATATCAGCAACACATCCACACTCGTAGCGCCACACATACCACCCTCGCCCGAACCTAGGAAACCACGAGGTACAGGTGTGTGCTGGTGGATGTGCATGTTGTTTGAAAAACACAGGAGCTCTAGAGAGCTGGCAGGGCACATTTCGGGGGGGGGGCAGAGAACAGAGAAGTACAGACAAATACCAGCTATGGGTCTTGACTGATCATTTTGCCCTCTCTGGAGTGATCATTTACAATATACCGAAAATAGACTAGTTGAGGCAGCTAGATGACTGATCATTTCAAAGTCTACACAGCTAACCTGCCCTACTGACCGCAGCGCGACCACCCATCAACCCTTCTACGACCCTGTCTGTGGCCACCACCCTGTCGCCGGCTTCTCTCATGGCCTACAGTTGGAGATAGCTGTTGCGTGTGCAGAAGTACACTGGTGTCTTTCTCTGCACTTCTCTCTCTCCCGCTCGCTCTCGCTCTAATTTTTTTTTTCGGCGCAAAAAAAAAATCTGACAGTCCAGCCTAGACCCAAAGGGATTAAACGCTGGTGAGCTTGGTTGGGACCGCTCTACCATATGTATTCCTCAACGTCATCCTGTCTAGGGGTGCAGCTCCACATGGCTCTGTACACGATGTACCACACCGAGAGGTTTCCCGCAGTACGCAGCATTTTAGGCTTGGGAATGATACCTTGGTAGCACTCCGTCAACCCCGCTTTCCAGTTACTCTTGTACCATTTGGCTCTCAAATGGCGCTCTGTTTTTGAAGTGACTCATGATGCGACCACTGGGATCATAACGACCCCTCCTCGACAACACCGCAATCAACGACCGCTGCAGAATCTTACATTCACAATTGGCCAGTAAATCGCGCGAAACAATGTCCACACACACGAATCAAGCATGAGGATGGTGTAGCCGGGAATACCGTGTGTTCTATGTCGTATGTCCTTGACCCTTCCACCGCTCCACCATGCGGCACCTGATCATGTCGTTGCCCGCCGCTGTTGAAACGTTTTCTCGTTCTCTCCTGTTCCGAGCGCAGCTGTGCCTACGGGACATACTGCTACAACAACAACCAGGTAGGCGTTGTCGTAGAACGCGCGGTAGGCCAAAAGGGTCAGTTCCATGCTCAACCACTTGCGAGCGATGATGATGTACTTGGAACACTTGGTGGGTGGGTTTTAGGGTTGATTCGCACACGTAAGACTTGAAAATGCTTTAAAGTTTTCTTCCTCTGCTGACGCGGTGGACTCCTGCCGTACTTTTTTTTGCTGTTGATTCCGCGAGGGTTGATCAGCCCGGTTTTGTTTACTTTCAGTGGCTCCTCCCCCGAAGTTTTCCTCAAGCGAGGGGGCAGGCATTCGATGACTTGCGTCATGTTCCGAATCCCCTGACGACCTATCGCGGGCTGCCCTTCCGCGACGATTAATGCTAACCATTTCTGCAACCCCGCGCCTTGTACACACGTACCAGTGCCAACGTGAACTGCCCGAGTTCAAAGGTTACGAGGCCCCGTCCATCGCCGTCCTGCTCGGCGTGTTTCTGGTGGGCAGCACGACGCTCTTCTGCGGCATCGCCGGGATCTCCATTGCCCGCGAGTACGCCAAAGAGTCGGCCGCCACCCGCCGGCAGAACGCCCTCAGGGTGACGACCTTCTCCCCGGACCGGTCGGTCAGGCTCACGGCTGCGGAGCCCTCCGGAGACGGCGGTTACATCACGCTGGCCGGCGACGACGATTCCGAAGAACACGACGACGACGCCGATGATGAGAGCAGCGTCCTCATGCGTGGCGGCGGGATCGGCACTAGAGGTCCCTCCGGTCCCTCCGCCGCAGAAGAAGGCGGAGCAGAGGCCGCCGCCGCCACCGCCACCGCCCCGGCGGTGCCGAAAGGAAAGAGGGACTTCGGGCGGGCCGGGGCCAGGAGGGTAGGCCGCAGCACCAGCAGAACGCGTCGCCGCCGCCGCCGCCGGGAGGCGGCGGAGGCCGAAGCGCTTTCCGGCCCCAGCCCGCTCGCGCGCAAGGTTTACTGCGTGACCCGGCTGGTCTGCGGCACTAGTATGGCAGTGGCTTCGCTGATGTGCGGGGTGGTTATTGGGTTCGCTCCCCACGCCCCCGGCGTGAACGTGTGCAACACGGAGTTCGATTGGGTGAGTCAAACAAGGTGGCGCTTGGTTGTGTGCATGTTGTTCGTGGTATTTTTGAGACCGAAGAAGCAAGGTGCAGCGGCATTCTACACCACTACCACTCACTAGTGTTTGTGTTGTCGACTTGGGGTATTTCGGGTGTATGCGACGTATCTCCGAGAGAGTACGTTTTCTGTCGCCTTATAGGCACGTCGTTTTTATTTTTCGTGTTTCAGTCGTGGAAGGAGGGGATGACTCGTAGAGGTTGGCCTTAAGACTGATATACTTCACGGTTGGCTTTCCTGTGGAAGATGTTCTGCGCGAGCAGGTAGCTTGTAGATTTTTTCACCTGTACCTGTCTTTGACATTTGCGCAATCTTGGGCTGTGCTGCAACGCGATGGGCCGAGTTTTGAAAATGGCATGCTTGTTGCGATTCTTGCGTTTGCAGAGCTTCGACCCCTCTTCCCCATCCCCCTTCCCAACGGTTCTTGTCTTCCCTGGCACTCAGGGTTCTATCGTCCACTCGATAAAGTCGGCGGGCGTGGAGGCGGACTTCCAGATTCTCGTGAGCATCTACAACCCTAACGTGCTCAACGCGGAGATCGAGACGGGGTCTGCCCTCCTCTACCACGGGGATACTGAGGTCCGTGCTCGAAACGTCTTGGGGGCCTGGTGCTTCAGAGTGGAAACAAAGGAAAATGAATAAAAAATCCAATTTAATCTGTAGGTTGGGTGTGTTTTTTTTTTTTTTCAGTTTTGGGTGCGCACTATTTGGCGGCGGTGTTGCAGTAGTAGAAGTGGGAGGGGGTACTAGGTACTCGCTTGGCCTAGTCGTTGACCACACATCCCGTTCGAGGGAGCACCGCTCACTCCTAGCAAACAGCACCGACGATTAAGGTGACGGGGGGGGGGGGCAAACAACGGTTGCATAGGGTAAATGAAGCCAGGTATGTATGTTTGTGATTGTCAGGATTGTTGTCTGATGGAATATGACAGGATGCCCAGATATTGAAGTGCTTGAGTGAGTGCTTGTCCCATCACGGGGTTGCCGCGGGCGTGTTATTTGTCACAACGAATCAAGAGTTGTATTGAAGGACCGGAGAACCGGGGGGCGATCGCGGAGGCATGCTGTACTGCAACGCGAACGCACGGTACGAAACAAACAACAGAAAGCTGTGCTTGGACCGTTTCACGCAAGCCTCGCCCTCTTTTTTTGAACTCTAGCCGTACGCACGGGCAAATACCCCCAGCTCGTCCCGTAGTTCTCGTGCTGAATACCTCTTATCCTCTCGTGGAAGGCAGAAGATGTTTTCATGATTGGCTGTACCTTTGTGCTCGTGTGGTTTGTGGCCCCGTCGCGCGTTTGTTCTTCCCGGTGCGAAGGTGGGCGTGATGGCGTTCGAACCGGCGCTCCTTGCGGGGGGCTACGTGACGGACATCCTGCTGACCATCACCTTCAAGACCGAGGTCTGGGAAGAGGCGCACCTAGGTACGCTTCGGTCTGTTACGCCTTACCTCGCACACCCGTTTTCTGTCTGCATGCACAGAAGCACACGAAATCGACAGCAGTGCTTGTGGTGTGTGCTGTACGTGCCGGTGTTGCTTGCAGCCGGCACTGGGAGGGGAGGGGGCGCGGGGGGCGTTTTAGGGTCCTGGCATGAGATGCTCTACGGCCACGCGGGGGTTTTCTCTCAGTTTGGTGGCCGTGTGGAATTTGTTGGCGACGCAGGGAAGCCAAAGCCATGCAACTGTGTAAGAGATTGGTGGATCAGTTAATCCTATAAATTTATATCACATTACCACAGAAACGCTAATAAAAATATTATATTTTGAAAGAATAAGCTAGATATCTGTTCGAGAGAGTACCACAGTCGAAGGGGGTGTGTTGAACTCTTGATGGTGACTGGGAGAGGAGAAAGTTTATGAAGCACCTTAGGGCTTTCTTACACGGCCCCGCTCTTTCACCCCCCACTCGCGCTCTCCTGATCGAACACTGATGGAACACCTCCCAACTCAATGGATCGATGGCGTGCGCAGGCTTGGAGTACGAGACCGGGCAGCTGGCCTTCCTGATGGACGCGACGATATCGGCGTCGGTGATGTGGCACGGCTACAAGACCTACCCCTTCACCTTCTCGATTAACAACTACTACATCAAGGTCGCAGACACGACGGGCTACGACCGGAGCCTGTGCAACTGCACGCAGATGATGCAGGGCGGCAAGCGTCCGCAGCAGGAGCGGCCGCAGCTGCGCTACGACCAGGTGGCCGAGCTCCCGTTTGATGTTGCCGGTGACGGCGGCGGTGGTGCTCAGACTGCAGGAGAGGGAGAGGACCGACAGGACGCTCTAACGGCCGCGGAGGGAGTTCTGCCGCCCACGATGCGCGACGATGTCGGGAGCAGGGTAGCTGTAAAGCAGTAGCATCGAAACTTCGGGGGGAGGGGGGGGGGGGGGGACGGCGATGGAACTTTGTGAGTCACAGGTCGGAGCACAAAATTCGCCGATGGAGAAAGACGAATCCGGGCTTCTGGGTCCTTGGACGAGCGGGAGTCAAGCAACTATTTGTGGCTTCGGTTTTGGGCGGAGGGTGTAGCTTGTCCGAGTGGTACGGTGCGAGCGATTCCACGACGTCCGCGCTTGTCCCACTATCACTTGTGTTCGTGAGGTTTGTTGGAACTGGGGCGGCGGCGGTCAAGCGCATGGGAAGCTGTTGGTGGGGTTGTTGTCCTCCTGAAGGAAGGCGTGAGTTCGTCAAGAGAACGAAAGGTGGTGTGTGTACTAAACTGGTGGTATGCTACAAGAGTATGCACCGGTGCAAAAGTATGCGCGGTTGGACGGGATCTTACTTTCCGAAGGCGCGCTCGATCTGCTCGCTTCTGGACTCCCGATTACGCCTCCAGCCATTTACCGGAGGAGACCACTCAAGACAACACCCCTTCGGCCTGCGCCCTCTTCTATGTATATCATTATGGGCTGGGGTTGAGTGGAGAGCGCGTGCCGGAGGGCCGTGGAACGCCTGTCTTCGCATACAGAGAAAAACGAACCGGTGGCATGGGACGGCACGCACCGTGCCGTGGCCACGGGCGGCATGAAGCGGTGGTGTAGATGAGCGTGCCGCGATAGGGCAAGGGTAACGCGGGGGGCTTTGGAGCAACACGGGGCGCCCTTGTTTCAAGTCTGCGTTTTCGTCTTTGCGGGTTTCTTCCTTGGTTCCTCGCGCGCGCTTGTCCGGGGAACGATTCGGGAAAAGAGCCTATCTCTCGCTGCTCCTCGTGCAATTGTCTTTCTATTTTGTTGTTGTCTTGATAGTATCGATCGATCGGCTTTGCCAGCCTTTTTCGAGTCGATGCATGTGTATGGCAAATGAATCCCATGTCTAGTGGATCGTGTAAGTAGCTCTTTGCCTTGTCGTTACGGTTGTTGTTGTCTTCGTTCTGTTCTGGGGTGCGCGAGGGGAGGGATCGCCGCATCTCAGGATCACTTCAAAAGACAAGACCGTCATCCAGGAGAGGTTAATGTATTTAGTTGGGAAATTATTCCCGGACACAAATAGCGCGAGGGTCGAACGGGAGGTTGTACATGGGCGACTGTTCATTAGTCATTGCATGCAGTCCATGTGTTCGCGTTGACGACACCGACGAAAGGACGAATGGTGTTTGCGCCCACGTGTAGTCTTTATTTGTGCCTGTCAAGAACGTCGAACGAACGTTCGACAGCGTTTGGGTAGGTGTTGGTGGTCTGTCTTCCCCGGGCGTTTCGCAAATGATGGCAATAATCTTGTGTCACGCTGTAGTTTTGGTAAGTAGGGAATTGCATGCCTTCTCTTTAGCGTGAGATGCTGCCCAGTGCAGAAGTCCACCAGGCCCCTTGGGTGGTTGTGTATATATGGTACCAAGCATCATGCCCTCTCTGTAGAGGTCGGCCCGTAACACCAGCAAAACTGCTGCTTCCACGCGTTCAAGCGAAAACCAGTGCCTTGATTTGGACACAGGATGTAAATAGACGCGACGCGGGCATTCTTCTCTTCTTTGTGACTGTTGTGTTTTTGCCGGGGGGTCAGATGGCGGTGGCGGAACTTTCCTCTCAACCCACCCCCTGCTGCTGGGTGAGGCTATCAAACTTTTTTTTTGGTGCAGGTCATTTGTTTGGCTCTCAAAGGCCCTGGCATGTTGTGTTCATGTCCTGGCGGGGGTGAAAAAAGGCTCGGTCGTCGGATCCGGCGTGCCCTTTGAATTTGAACCAAGGTTTTTCTTTTTCTTTGTGGTCGTTCGCTAGTCGTGTTTGTTTGTGGTTCTCGCTTCGCCAGGGCCGGCAGAATGCGGAAGTCTTGTTTTCATCGTGTGCCATGTTCTTCCTTCCGCTGTGCCATGATACGCGCCATGGACGGTGTACTGCAGTGTGAATCCGGTCATGGCTCCTTTTCTCACCAACACTTTTTTTTGTTGTGCAAACGAATGGGGCACGAGTATTTCCAGGATACACAGAAAAAGGTCGACTCAATGGTCGACAAGGGAAGGGACACATGTCCTTCTCCTGATACAAAATAGGGCAGGCACCGCCAAAGGAAATTCACACCTACGTAAACATAAAGAGAGCCTCCGTCGTGTGCAAACCCGTGTGTCCCATCATACCGAAAGTCTTTTCATAAAGCCGACGTCCAGATTAAATGGGACTTAACGAATATGCCTCCATCTTCAAAACTACTGTAGAAGGCACGGGAGATAATGTCGTCAATGTTTGGTTCTTCGAACATGGTGCTTTTCAGCCAAGTGCTTCACACACTGGTGAAAATTATTTGTTGACGTTCACTCGACGGACCGACAAATGTGATGGGTCTGTCTCATCCGAAAGAAAAGTAACAAGGAGTTACGAGTTTTCTCGGCGAAAGAACGACGGCTGGCTGTCGTAGCGTTTTGTCACCACCTCACGACATCCATCCGTAAAAAGCGTTTTGACTCTACGAACAGCGTCGTACTCCACCCACACAGCGTGCGCCCACCCCATGTTAATGCTTGGTTTCCGTTAGCGTTTCTTCCTTGGTGCCACGCCTGCACGCCAAGAACGGTCGTGAACACCTCCACCAGCCTCTGCGTTCCTCGTTAATCAATCGTGCTTGGGTTTTGTGTATGGGACGGACGACTACCACGGCCTTTCTCTAGCGTGCACTTGACAGATCAGCTGCTGCTGCCCCTCCCCCACAGGCACAAAACCACTTTTCTTCGGTGGGAGGAACACGCACGCACAGCGCGGTCGATGCTAATTCAAACACATAGTACACAAAACACACCAACAGTGATCGTGTTTCTGTGAAGGGACTTCAACAAGAGATATTCTTTCCGGCATTCGCATCCAGCGCATGCGCAATTTTCGAATTTTGGCCCCCTTCCAGCGACCTTGAATTTTACCCGCTGGCACTGACGTATTTTCATTGGCCAGCCAGTTAGCGCGGTCGATTACAAAACGATAGAGAAACACCCACACCCACACACGTCAGGCACCGCGGTCGAAGGACGGCCGCGCTGCCCCGCAGGCTGCGAAGAAAACAAAGACGTGTTCATCATGCCTAACGCCGCACGCACGACGACACCGCAAGATCTCCAGAACAAAGACCAGACTCGTTGAAACAAGACGCGAGCGAGCACCACGTCGGAGAGAGAGAAACAGAGACGGCACCGAAGCGCCTTGAGCACACACAAACACCGCGATGCGGCCTCCCTGTCTACCTCGCGCCCGACACATAACGTTTCTGTTTAACACATTTCGCACGTCACACACACAAAGACACCCGGTGACACGAGCTAGCGTGCTTCACACAAAACAACACAAACATCAACTGCATCTCGCCACTCACCCCACCCGAAAAACGTCTGCGCACCAAGCTCAGGGGAAACAAAGATGGTACATGCGCGCGGGGTACGATACCTTCTATGGCAACTACGGGCGGAGGGGGTCTACACCGCTGGATATTCGAACAGCATCACACAACCAAAAGAACCTCGCACACAAACCCTAAAACAGTGTATCGGTCGGTGTTGTGGATTTACGTCTGCAGCCCCCAGCACTCTTCGAAAAAATATCCCCCAGCACATCGCTCCACCTGTATTCTCTCTCCTGTTTCAAGTAACACCCACGCAAGTGCACCTGTCTCCTCCACCCCTGCCCCTTCCCCTTCCCCTCCAAGAACAAACATTGCAAGCAGAACAATCATCTCCTCCCCTTGCTTCTACTGCTGGACCGCTGGACCGTGCGAGTCGTCGAGCTCAAAACGCCCGTATACCCCTTACGCGTTCCAACCCTTCAACGCTGTCGACTTTACCTCCTACATCACACACAGTTTCTCAGCTCCTGACCCTTCTTATGTTCACCTTACCCTCCACACGTACACACCACATAACCTACAACCAATCTTCCATCGTTACCCCGGTGCACAAGTCAATTCACGGCGTAGGCGGGCCCACCCATGGCATTCCACACACACCCACCTGCCCACCGACTTCCTCCTCCGCGCATAAAACCATCCCCCCCAAACCACCAGCTGTGTCGATTCCCGTCTCCTCCGTCATCGGTTCACGCTCACACAAAATTCCAACCCCTTCCCCTCCCGTTTCCACCGCACAAACTCCGGGCCCTCCTGCCTCAGTTCACCACCGACCACGGGCTGGCAGTGTCAACCTGCGCGGCGGCGGCGGCCGCCG